AATCCACAAAATAAAAGGTAATATAAAATTATAATTTTATATTAGGATAAAATCATATTTTTTAACGATTATATTAATATATATCAACGAAAAGTGGTTATGTGTTACACATGCATAAACGTCATGAGATGTAAGGGGAATATTCTAAATGTGAAGAAGTTCAAATGATTAAGTGACAAACATGAGGGGATCAAGGTATAATTTATTAATTTAATTTTAGGTGCACATTGATATAAATTTCTATCTTTTAAGGTGCAAATTGAGATTTTTTATCTTTGGGGATGCACATTAATACAAATTTCTATCTTTGAGGGTGCAAATTGAGATTTTTTATCTTTTGGGGTGCACATTGATATAAATTTCTATCTTTGAGGGTATAAATTGAGATTTTTGATCTTTGAGGGTGCAAATTGAGATTCGAACAATCTTTCGAGGTGCAAAATGAGATTAACCCATTTTTTTTTTTAGCACTACACAACTATCTGCAGAGAATCTACTGCACCTATATCAAGGACAAAACTAACCCTGAAGAGTAGAATCCCACTGAATTGCCATAACTGTAAAGGCTCGAACCCAAATATTGAAAAAAAAATTCAAATTCTTACGCAGTGGATCAACCAATCAGTGGTCACAGTTTTGGTTATGAAGCTGCCATAGGTGCCAATGGATTTTGAAAAGAGTAAATGCAGCACAAGTGAGGAGTCCAATATAGGAATACACCAAAAAAAAATGACTCTTTGTAAAGGAATTAATTTTACTGATACAGATTATGTCCTGAGAAATGGAAAAAATTATAGAAAATGTCAAAAATAATGAATGGTGTAACCTAGATTTAATTTCATCAGAATCTGAATAGAATGCTCCATGGTAGACCAAGTATAAAAAAATTAAAACGGAGTTCACAACGGAAGACTGATGGCATGCTATGCCGGGCAGGTGAGATCAAATAGATGATCAGTACAAGTCCACTGAAGGACTCTCGCCTCACCCACCCATTTGAATTATGGCATCATCCACAATGAACAGTTGCTGTTGTTGAGGTTTGAAACATAATTTAGACTCGGATCATTGCTCGAATCAAAATTACTGGATTGGAAAATTCTCCACTGTGGAATGAATGAAGTAAAACCCTGTATTCTACTCGGTGTCTCGTACGGAACCTGCTGTAGAAATTCAGTTAAAGTGAGAGTCTGCCTTGAGGAGTTTTTCTCTCGACTTTACCAAATGCTTGNATTACAATATTCGGCATCTGCAGCATGTTCTATAAGAATAATACTAAACTGATACCTAAAACACATGCAGAATTGCATCAAAATTGGTCCCATATAGATATCATTAATGTTCAATGCCTACAGTAAAATGCCTCCGCCAAGCCACCATAGGATTTTTTGTTGAAAATACTGCGTTATATTATTTCAGTTCATCAACTACTTGACAGATGAGCTTTAGAGAAAGATAGGAGGCTTACACAGATAATGCAAGTGAATACTGAAAAACATATGTCCTCGAGCATGGAGACACAGGTTATTGATGATATACGCAAAGCCCTCCATTTGAAAGGTAAGAATGCAAGACAAATGACACCAACCGGCCAGCTGCTGCAGCCAGTTGCTAATGAGTACAGTACTATACAACCAGCTGGGACTGTATTTGTTAATGTAATTATTGATAAGTGTGCCGACCTATATATTATGAGATCCACTTAGACTATACTAAATTAATTTATGCCAAAGTGCAGAAGAGAAAATTCACCAGAAAACTACTACGTCACCAGGTGAGAACTTGTACTTTTCAAGGCACCATTTCTCCACCAAAACATAGTTATCTGCAACAAAAAAAAATGATGGGTTCCACGAATTTCACAAATTAAAACAAGTTGGTCGAGCTTTATTTCACTTACCAGTCAATGATCCCATTGAAGTGCTGCCATGAGAATTGAATGTGGGAGCCATGGAAAGGCCCCGAACAGGGACGATACTGGCATAACGATCAGATATAGTAAGCCCAATGAGCCCAAATGTGAAGTACTTCTTAGCAAAATTCCAGAGAAAACTTCGAGTTCCCATCTACTATCTCCAAAAATAGATGCATGTCAGGCTAAATAAGAAGCCATCTGCACCAACATGTTGACCAAAGAAAGTGCACACACAAATTTCACCAGATGCTCTGGAAAGTAACATAGTATCGTACTAATCAAACGTTTTGAAATAATAACATTGGGTATATTCAACCAGTTGACAAAGCATAACCATCCAGTGGCAGTAGAATAATAGATAGCCACTCTAAACAATAAGCATAAGCAAGTCACAGTTTTTTGCCACCACAGATGCAAGGAAGAAGACTTGTTTCAGATGGGCTAATAATCGAACTGAGCCTGTTGAGCTTGTATTTTCAAAAGAGCCTACAAAATTGTGTAAGGTCGACTAATTTAGAAAACAAATCAATCCCAAGCCGAGCCCAAAAGGAGATAACTCGGCTCGATTACCAGCCCTAGGTTCCAGTAACTAACAGCTCAGTATTCAAAAAATTATCGTACAGAGATTTGTGCTGTATAAAAGATCTTAAAACGTCATTGGCTTGTGAAAATGAAGCTAAGAAGTACGACGCAATTCCGATATTGTCTGAATTCATACCGAAAGTGAAATTTTTCATCGAATTGCAAAATTTTGGTTCAATAATTAATGAATTGAATGCAAAAAAGGTAAGGTTGTATACAAAAACAGATCAATCAGTTAAAACAATAGAGATAAAGAAACAATATGATTCTCATTGGCGGAAATTTGAGTATATATATATATATACAAGAGAAGCCTACCAGACGAGATGGAGAGGCACTTCAAGGATTGGCCGAAGAAGGAACGGGAAGAAGATAAGAGAGGGTATAGGGTTTTACCTACTGTTTGGGTCGACGGAGAACGAGCTAGAAATACTTTACGGAGATAAAAAGGGAAATCACATTTTATGCCTCAGAATTTTTATTTTGTACATACGTGACCCTATTAGAGTTATCAACATCAGCACGCGACTGAGAGGATGTGTTGAACAAGTCAAGTTTGTTTTTGTGTCAAAGATATGCCTCTGTTTACGAGAAATGTTACATGAACTTAAAAAGTTGATTTAAAAATTAGACTTGATAGTCTCAATCATTGATTTTACTGTGGATCTCAGTATTTATTGAGACTCACTACCTATTCAATTGTTGAGATTTTTAAGTCAATCTAGACTTGTATCAGGTGAAGTTTTAACATCACNCATACGTGACCCTATTAGAGTTATCAACATCAGCACGCGACTGAGAGGATGTGTTGTCAAAGATATGCCTCTGTTTACGATAAATGTTACATGAATTTAAAAAATAGATTTAAAAATTAGACTTAATAGTCTCAATCATTGATTTCACTGTGGATCTCAGCATTTATTGAGACTCACTACCTATTCAATTGTTGAGATTTTTAAGTCAATCTAGACTTGTATCAGGTGAAGTTTTAACATCACTACATGAATAAAAGTATTTTCTTTCCTCCTCTGTGTGTCTCTTTTATAGAGTGGATTCAACAGACCCTTCTATTAATTTTTGTTGTTTATACCTTCAAAAAAAACATCCCATGGTAGTTGATATTATGCAATGGAACTTAATAGTATTCTCTTTCTCTACCAGCTCTTGAACCCACAATTTGGTGGTTGAAATTTGAAGTCAACAACCATCAAGTTAAAGCCACATTTTAATATTTTTAATACATTGACGATACATTTAGTAGGTAATAATAAAGTATGAGAATAAAATGACTATAACTTAGTAATATAGTNAACAGACCCTTCTATTAATTTTTGTTGTTTATACCTTCAAAAAAAACATCCCATGGGGGTTGATATTATGCAATGGAACTTAATAGTATTCTCTTTCTCTACCAGCTCTTGAACCCACAACTAGGTGGTTGGAATTTGAAGTCAACAACCATCAAGTTAAGGCCACATTTTAATATTTTTAATACATTGACAATACATTTAGTAGGTAATAATAAAGTATGAGAATAAAATGACTATAACTTAGTAATACAATTCATTTTAATGTTTGATATGTAATAATAAAAATTTATTTTCATTATCATAGAATGTTTAATCTCATAAATGTATGATTTGTCATTCTTTATAATTTGATGGTATTTTTCATTCTTATCTACATTCACTCGTCGCCGCGACCCACCATCACCCCATCNTCATTCTTATCTACATTCACTCGTCGCCACGACCCACCATCACCCCCACCTCCATTTGGGGTCGAGTTCGGGTCCAGTCCATGGATGGGTTTGGGATTTGAGTTCAAGTCCAACATCGGGTCTGGGTTCAAGTTTCGGTCCAAGGTCAAGGTTCAGGTACGGGGTCAAAGGTTTGGGCCCATGTCTGGATTGGGTTAGGGGTTGGGTCCACGTCTAGGGCTTGGGTCAGGGCCAAGGTCTAGGTTCGGATCTGAGATCGGGCCGAGAGTTTAGATTCAAGTCATGAATCTAGGGTCGAGTCGAAGTTCTGGATCTCAAGACAAGGATATCTAAGTTCGGGTCATGAATCTGAGGTTATGTTCGAGTCTACAGTCGGGTCCAAGTATTGAATTTGGGTCCGAGTCTAGGGATTATCTAAATATTTAATTGAATTTTTAATTCTAATCCAGTACTTAATCTTAATTATTATTAAATATAAAAATGATAATGTGCATTTCATTACCTTCTTATGTTCACTCCCTTCTGTTTTTATATTCATTTCATTCTTACCTTCATTCCATTCTCGTATAAAAATGATGATGCTCCATTCAAGACTAGCATAATTGTATGGGTGGATAACAGGAGCCCCGGGAATTATTGAGCTCGCTTCCTGGAGAGTTGGAGGAGCTAGCCTACAACCCTCAACTGAGCTCGAAGAACCCGCTCTGGGACGCGCAAAGGGCCTGCATATGCCCAAGAAAGAAAGCCGCGTTGCTTCAGAAATTAGAAAATTATGCACCACAATGATTAAGGAGTAATTGATTCCAGCGATCAATCAAGCCTTTACTCCTTCAGTCAAGGAGAAACGAGTTCCAACACTCCAGCAATATTCAAAAGAAGATCCCGCCAACAAGGGAAATTAATAATTGTCAATTATAAATATCAAAAGCATTTATACAGAAAAGGGCAGATTGTAACCCATTATTTCCAAGAATTAATAACAACCCCGTCCCTCGGAGCAAGAGACTCATTTCCAGTGGATTAGTTGGGCATCATTGCCGGTAAACTACTATAATCCTTGTTTTCTTTTATTCTTAGACTGCAACATCAACAAAGGGTACTACACGAACTCAGGCTTATGCTATCTTTTTGGTGTTCCTTTTAACTTGAACCAAAAGGTNCAGATTGTAACCCATTATTTCCAAGAATTAATAACAACCCCGTCCCTCGGAGCAAGGGACTCATTTCGAGTGGATTAGTCGGGCATCATTGCCGGTGAACTACTATAATTCTTGTTTTCTTTTATTCTTAGACCGCAACATCAACAAAGGGTACGACACGAACTCAGGCTTATGCTATCTTTTTGGTGTTCCTTTTAACTTGAACCAAAAGGTTCTTTATAAAATAACTAGTTATAATTTGTGTCTGAATGCATAATAAAATATAAAATTTGATCGTTTAAAAAATGAATCCTACTATACTAAATAATAATTTTTTATTTCCACTTTTATTTGATTACATAATTTAAAATTAATTTCTATCTATTATTTTTAAAAAATAACATCAAAATTTTTTCAAAATGTATAACCCGACAAAATTTTTTCAACACTTTTACATTATCATGTATGGACAATGTANTGATCGTTTAAAAAATGAATCCTACTATACTAAATAATAATTTTTTATTTCCACTTTTATTTGATTACATCATTTAAAATTAATTTCTATCTATTATTTTTTAAAAATAACATCAAAATTTTTTCAAAATGTATAACCCGACAAATTTTTTCAACACTTTTACATTATCGTGTATAGACAATGAATGAAACAATAATTATGTTAAATTAAAATTAATCAAATATTAAATGAGCAAACACGTGATAAAATTGGGTGATGGGATAGTTTTAAGAGGGAAAATATGTGTGAGATAAAAATTTAAACTCTTAGGTGTTTTATTATATAGTTATTGTAGACACTATCTTTGTATATCTAGTTGATGTGGTACAATCANATGAAACAATAATTATGTTAAATTAAAATTAATCAAATATTAAATGAGCAAACACGTGATAAAATTGGGTGATGGGATAGTTTTAAGAGGGAAAATATGTGTGAGATAAAAATTTAAACTCTTAGGTGTTATATTATAAAGATATTGTAGACACTATCTTTGTATATCTAGTTGATGTGGTACAATCAGAATTATTGAATATTTAATGAACCCTATAAAACTTACGAATATAACCGTTTATGTTAAAGTGGTACACAAAGGTAATGTATGTATACATTGTTTTTTTTTTTAATATGTATAAGGGACGGATCTGATAGTCCCATTTTAGAAGTTGTACGTATGAAATCATAGAGATTATGACACAATAAGAGAGAACTAGCAATAAACTAAATAAGATTAAAAGAAAATGGCTTATTCAAAACCACTTGTAACCCAATTTGGTATCAGAATAAACCGTCCAATCTAAATTCAATGAACAATAAGTAAAACAGTTTGCGTAATTCATACGTTAATTCAAGAGATATCATTAACCAGTATGGGTTGATAATGAAAACATTTAGCTAGCTAAGACGTGTGCTGATTACTTCATACTTACCGGGACTTCATGACAGTAATTAAGACATTCTTAGTCTCATTTTTTTTTTTAGATAAATAACATTTCTAGTTATTCAAAGAAGAATTTATCCCGGATGAATATTCTAATTTCGGCGAGAATGACCTACCGTTAATTAGACCGGGAAAGAGAATTAATCGAGGTGCATATAAACTAACCCAAACACCCCTAACTGTTTGAACAAAAAAAAAAAAA